TACCTTTAGAGAGTGGTCCTACCGACCGCGCCAATGTTAGATAAAGGCGGTGCTCTCGTCGACCTGTATTCTCACGACCGGTCACCAGCACACACTGACCCCTCTCCTCCCGCGCGGGCCGCCGCGCGCCGCCCGGCGCCCGCAGACGGGTCACGGCGCATGCGCCGCCCAGCGGCGCATGCGCCGCGACCGGCCAGGCTGGGCGGGCGGTGATATTCGCAGTGCACAAAATCACACAATCACATAAGGTATAACCCCTTGCCGTTTCGCTCCTGATCAAGCTAGAGCTTCGCGGAAAAAACGAGCGTGTCGCCCGTGACGAGAGAAAGCCGATGATACCCAATTTTAAGGTCCTAAGTCATCGGTTGACCTTCCAGGTCAGGTCAATGACCCAAAAGGCGGGGAAATTGGGACCTGTTAGAACGTCGTAGTGTGGCTGCTATGGGGTTTTTCGGGGTGGTGCTGATCACGAATATCATGCTAGTTTTGATCACAGATGATGTCTTCATTCATTTAGGCCAGGTCGGGTTAGGTCAGGTCAGGTCAACCAGTAGAGGTCCTGCCAGGTATTTGTAGTAGGTGTCAACCGCCTCTGACAGCCTCGTAACATGTTACAAAGGCACCAAAACTACTTTGTAAACGTTCATGTGGTTGCTTAATTCGAATTCAGCTCGAAAAAAACTGGCCTAGAAACATGTCAAACTCGAAAAAGTGAACCGAGGTCACCAAAGGTCAATGACCTGACCTGACCTTCAGGTGACCTTGACACCCACCCTAATGCATGGGGGCAACATCATATCACATGTTTGAACGCTTGAAACCACGAAAAGACTGCAAACGCGCTGCTAATGCGAGCCGACATACGCTGAATCGCGGTTCCGGCCAAACATGGTCTCGAAAAGTAGGTCTCAGGTTAAAGGTCATTTGGGTCAGGGTCATGAAATTTTCAGGGTGGGTGTTAAATTGATCAATGCGAGGTTAGGTACTGAAAGTTTCGTCGCGATCAGCCGCTTTTTAAGCGAGTTATTCGCGAAAAACCTTAGGGGGGTTGCATCAACCCCCCCCCCCCTGTGCGGGCGAGGTCATGTTTTGATAGCAAGACTGAAACAGACTTTTTTGGGTAGCCAGGAAATCGCATGCCAGAGCCTATTCAAATTCTTTTATCGGCCTTTATATGCACCAGTCGCATACAGGTACGGGATTTAGCATACGATTTCCAGACAATCGAAAGACTGTTTGAGAGAGAGAGAGAGAGAGAGAGAGAGAGAGAGAGAGAGAGAGAGAGAGAGAGAGAGAGAGAGAGAGAGAGAGAGAGAGAGAGAGAGAGAGAGAGAGAGAGAGAGAGAGAGAGAGAGAGAGAGAGAGAGAGAGAGAGAGAGAACTTTGTATTTACAGACACTTAGTCCAATGCTACATAACATGAAGATTCATGGCACTCCCAGAGCATCATTCCATGCCGCTCTTAGCGGTGATCGCCGGTGTATGTCACTGTCAACCAGGACATTGATGATCGCGTTGGTGGATGCATCTAAACGCTGCATGAAACCCCATGCTGCTTTTCGGTACATCACGTCAAAATTATCTAATCCTTCACACACATGCATAGACGAAGCGCTACAGAACCTGGAGTAGCCAAAGAATATTCTGACAGCATTGTTAAGACACACTTTGAATTTTCTTATAACCGCAGCACTATAAGCACGCCACAAGTGAACACAGTACACAGAAGCACAGTAGGTCGTGAATAAATACTTTTTCACAGCATACGTACACATGCCAAATTTGCGAATGAGCGAATTGGTTCTACAGCACAGCATACGATATTGCTGCTGAATCTCAAGATCATCACGCACATTGTCAGTCATGAAGTAACCAAGATATTTGTACTCACTTACAACTCTTAATATTGTGCCACAAAGAGACAGCTCAGGAGTTTTAAGATTTTTCAAAGCCTTTGGACGCATAATCAAGCATACAGTTTTCTTTGTGTTGTACTTGATATCATACTCCTCTGCAAATCGTTCGCAAGTATTCAAGAGCACTTGCAAGCCATGGTGAGATGGCGAAAGAAGTATGACATCATCAGCATAAGCAATGTGATTCATGCTGCCCAAATAACGGCAGCCAACGCCAGTTTCATCCAGTGCTGAAGAAAGAGAGTCTATATACACATTGAACATGAAGGGGGAAAGTATACCTCCCTGCCTCACGCCGTTACTTACATTAAAACCGCCAGTTGTGACACCACCCCATTTGACGTGAAAAAGCTGAGTACCGTACCATTCAACTAGAAGTTTAACGAGGCTTTTATCAATTCCACGCTTTAAAAGTTTGTCATAGAGTTTCCAGTGATTCACTCTATCAAAAGCTTTTGATGCATCCAGAAAACAAACATACACGGCACTATTGTTTCTAAGGTAATAATCTGAAATTTCTTTGACTGCATATATTGCCATATCAGTACCATGAGCTGGCTTAAAACCAAATTGATGGTCAGTTGTTTTTAGGTTCTCCTTGCAGCGCATAAAGATCAACGTCTCTAGAAGTTTAGAGCTAACACTGGCCAAAGCAATTGGTCTGTAGTTGTCCTTCTCCGAGATATTACCAGTTTTATCCTTCACGATTGGGACCAATACAACTTTAGTAAGGGCATGAGGCAGATGCCCGTGCTTTACCATCATACTGAAACATAGCGAGAGGTGAACAACACATGATTGAGGTGCGAACTTTAAATGCTCCGTCTGTAGGTCGTCGTGCCCTGGGCTACGACCTGATGACAGATCACGTATCGATCTGGAAACTTCAGCAACCGAAATAAGTGGGATATCAGGAAGGTCAGCATCAAGCTGTGACAGTACGGAAGGCCTTAAGCTTTGGTCCGTCACTGAATTAAGTATTTCAGCAAAATGGTTCTTCCACATTTCACCAATATTAGAAGCACCAGTGACGCCACCAACCGTAGATGCTAGCGGTGGCGAACTGTTGAGCTTTCTAACTTCATTCCAAAAAGAGGATACATTTCGTGGATACCTGGCTAGCTTATCGGCCATCGACTTAGCCCGTAGATCTTTTTCGTTCCTAAGGCACCAACGCAATGAATACTTGAATCGAGCTTTAGCCAGTCTCAATTGATCATAGATGTAGCCATCTCTTGGTTTACCTACCAACGCCCACAGACAGTATATGTCCCCGAGAACTGAGTGGGCTTCTTTGACAAAGTCATTCCACCCTGGGATGGCCTTGCCATTCCCTGTTACCGCCTTGGCAATGCTTCGGCGTGAAGACTCGCGCAGGCATGCCATTATGCTCTGGTAGTATTTGTCTATCTCATCTGAGTGCCTTCTACAAGCAGCGTCTGTGCAATCAAGGACATGGTACGGTACGTCTACGTCCTGGAGAAATTCCTCGACACAACTGCGGTACATCGCTATACTATGTTCGTCAAGAGACGACCAATCCACAACCCATTTAGTGCTCCCAACCTCTTCATTAGGAGCTGTCACATGTCCAGGATCAGGGGTCGCAAGCGTTACGGTCATGGGAAAATGATCAGAGCCATGAATGTCACCAGAGATAATAATTTGCTGAACAAGATCGTAAGCACTTGAAGTACATACCACATGATCAAGCCATGATTCTGAGGCATGCCCATCATTGACATGAGTAACGGAATTTCTGTCAAGAAGTAAGTCGTCCGCTACAATCAAACTAGAGTCATCGCAAAAACATTGAAGCTCTCTGCCAAAGGCCGTAAGTTTAACCAGATCAGCGTTGTAATCTCCAAGTATATAGACGAGTGGAGAGTCAAACTCTTCAATAATTGCTCTTATCTTCCCTAAACAGAACACAAACTCCTCAAAATTATGATTGGCGTTATAGGGCAAATAAATTCCAAGGAACAAGATCTTAGACTCGTTAGAACAATATTCCAGACCAATAATTCTGTCGTCATCAAAGGTCACAACTCTCATAAACGGTGCATACTTTCTTTTCCACATTACAGCTACTCCTCCATAAGGCCTCCCTATAACAATATTTTCCTCGGGCTTCATAGAAGATACGCCATACGCCATAAATTCAGAATTGATATTATTTAAGCTTGGAAGATCGGAGGGAAAAAGCCAGTGCTCTTGCAAGAAGATGATATCAGAGCTGTCACAAAGCAACTGAATACTACCAATATTACGTTTCGATGACTGACAATTGTATGTGCTGACCTTCATAAAATTTACAGAGAAGAGGAAACACAGTAAAAATAAGGCAACACTCATGATACAGTTCCCGAGTACCCCAGCACGCATCTTCATACTGTAGCAGTCGCAGGACCTTCAGACAGCGCGTTATCGGCTTTCTTTGAAAAGAAGCGTCGAACTAAAAGCCCCTGTGCCCAAATTTCAGGGTCGAGAACATTGTCAACTGACGGATCTGTCACGTCTAGCCTGTATGACTCATAAGAGTCGTACTTGGCTACGACTCTTATGAGTCGTAGCCAAGTCATTCCTTCCTTTGTTTGGAGCCAACAAAGGAAGGAATGAGTGAGTTAAGTTGAAAGTATTAATTTGGTTCAAAATGATGATGTAGATAACCTAGTTATTTAAAGCTAAATATCTTATGACGAGAGCGGTTGGCATTTTTGGTATGCAGTGTTATTCATTGAGAACCGGTCGGAGCGTTTGAGTCTTTAATTTAGTGGTCGCCGCTTACTAATCATGCGGCATACACGCCGCACATAACCGCCAATGCCGCAACGCAGCTTAGATTTCGAAGTAAGCATTTAGTCCCACCCGACCCATGCTCTACTCATACTGGATTCGAATATACGCGTGCGCAATGTTAGCTGGAGGTACCCCCTCGTAATTTCACATGTGCAAGGCCCACCCTCTCGCTCGCTCCGTTGGTCGCCCCCAAAGGCATTTTACTGGTTATCAATCTTCACAATCTTTAATCGTTCGCTCGCTGATAACAGCTCATTGATGATCACTATAACAAATGCCTTCCAGGTGGAACTGACTCCCGAAGAAATAAACTCCTTGCGCGAAGAAATGAATTCTGCGCGTGAAGAAATCAACTCCCTGGGTGAAGAAATCAACTCCCTGCGTGACGAAATGAACTCTCCGCGTGAAGAAATCAACTCTCTGCATGAAGAAATGAACTCTTCGCGTGAAGAAATCGACTCCGCGCGTGAAGAAATCGACTCCGCGCGTGAAGAAATCGACTCCGCGCGTGAAGAAATGGAGGCTGTGCGTGAACTAATGGCTGAACTGAGAAGAGAAATAGATGCTCTAAAGGAGGAGATGACAAGCGCTCAGGAGGAGAACGTCGAGGTGCGCTGTGAGGTGGCGCGCCTGCGCCAGGCGCTGGTGGAGGAGCGCGCCGCTCGCCAGGACGCCGTGGAGGATCTGCGACGGGAGATCCGCCTAGGATCGGCGCCTTCCGGCCGCTCCCAGGGGTGAGACCGAGAGGCAGCAGGGGTGGCACGGGGTGGGGGGAGGGGACACTGGACGGGTTTCGTTTGTCGAGTGGTGCTGTGCTCTGTTGGAAGAGAAAACGTGTGGAAGTTAGTGCTAGTAATGACTGACCTGATGACGACGTCACGCCACGTCACGCTGGCGTCATCTCGCCACAGTGACGGCGAGGCGGAGCTGGCGCCACTGAAGGACGACACGTGTGACAAGTGTGACGCCATCAGCACCTGTGACGTCACAATCCCGACTGCTGAGGAGGCGCGACCGGCGGCGCCTGTGCCTCGCGAGGCCAACATCTACCACCTGGACGCCGAGCTGCTGAAGATGGTGCTGAGCAAGATGGACTGCTGGGAGATGTTCCGCGCCAGGCGGGGTGAGTGCCACGTTGACTGCCGAGGTCGTGGTTCACAATGCTAGCCCGCGCCGGGCCGGCCCCCCTCATGCATTCAAACACCCCCGCATGGGGGTGTTTGAACACTCCCATGCGGTTTTTCGCAGATATCTAAAAAACGGTGCATCTTTTCCGCACATGTGAAAATTTCAGACCCAGGTCGCCCAAGGTCAGGTCACCAGGTCACGCCAAGTGACCTCACCTCAGAAAAAAATGGAATGCTCGTCATAGCTACACCGACTGAACGATTGCCTTGAAACTTTCAGCAATTGATAACAGTAACAAGTATCTATAAAACGTATATCTCGGAATTTCGATATCGGTGACCTAAGGTCAGGTCAATTTTGCGGCCTCTCCATTATAAGTCAATGGAAGAAAATTGAAAGGCGTCTGTTTTGCACGAACGCTGTTCTAGACACTCAAACATCAGGATGCAGGTAAACTTAACACACTGAACCGGAAAATGGCACCTTTGACCCCTCGTTATGTCCCGGAGGTCATCTTAGGTCTTCAAAGGTCCCCAGCAGTTTTTTTTACTATAACTTTTGATAGAAACGTGCTAGAGCAGTTCAAACACCTCGGATGTGTGCAGCTCGACGATACGGATCGATTGATATGCAACATGACCCTTTCCGGTCAGGTAATGACCTTGACCTGAGGTCAAATTTTCAAAATGACATTTCAAGGTCAAATTTTAGTTCATTTGAAACGTTTGAGTCAAAAGTAATTGCCGAAAACACTTCGTAAAAACGGCTTATTTTGGAGTTTTTGCCCTCTGGAGACTAAACCGTTGACCTGAGGTCAAATCTGAGGACATGTTAGCGAAAATCGTTATCGATTGACCGAAACGGGCACTTCGATAACGCTACTTCGATAACGATAATCAATAACGATAAATTTGTAAAAACGTTATCGTCGATAACGACTTTGATAATCGTTATCGATGGGAGTTATCGAAGTGCCCACCACTGGTTCTTTCGAATGCCGCTTACCGCGTGTCGCTACATGGCCCAGGAGCCGAGTTAGAAGGGGGGGGGGGGTTCAGACACCCCCCCCGCCCCGGCGCGGCGCGGAAGTCGTGGAGCACCGGCCCGGCGCGGGCTAGGTATGCCAGTCGATGTGCTTTTTCCTGAGCCAACAGAGAGGGCGATACTGGGGAGGACCCTGCACATAGATAAAGGGCTGCTCTGTCGTGAACGGTCACTATAATATGGTTCTTACCTGCTTGTTAGAATTGCAAACACTGCCTGTCTGATAACTTTGACTCCCAAGTTTGCCGCTGGCGTGTCAACTGTTAACTTGCCAACCGTTTGATTTTGTTTCGTCGGTGTCGACAGTCTGCCATCGGTGGCGGTCCGCCGTCGACGATATCGTCAGCGACTGTCGGCGGGAGCTAACCGATCGGCAAACCCGCGATGGAAAGGTCCCTGCGCCGGCCACGAGCCTAGAGTTCGTATTGAAGGTGCAGGACCAGCCGGGGATGACCGAACTGCGGGCGCCGACCGCTGAGACGGACACCGACCTCCGACTGGTCGGTGAGTACTGTGTGATCTGGTGCGCTGTGTCCCGCTGTAAGCGTCTTACCCTGTCCATGTGATCACTACTTCGCTGACGGTGGTGCCGAATTCCAGCGGCCACCTGCCACGCTCTGCAGACAGCCAACCTGCGCGGCTTCAAGCTGCGGGTCTCTGCCCTGCGCCGGCTGGCGCGTGCCAACGCCTCCAGTCTGCGTGAGCTGACGCTGCCGGCCGGTGTCAGCGACTGGCAGCTGGAGGCGCTGCTGGAGCCGCTGAAGGCTCTGGAGCAGCTCGATGTGAGCCCACCCGTGAACAGCACCGGCAAGTGGCTGCGGCTGCTGCCCAAGTCGCTGACGAGGCTGGACATCACTGGTGCGTGGGAGAGGGTGCTGGTGGAACGCGTGAGTCGCATTAGCACAGACCTTGCAGCGCTGGATCTCGCGAATGGGGTGGCTTAGAAAAGAAGAGAATGAGCCTTCCTGTAATTGGTGCGTGTTCTTTTGGAGAGAGGATGGAACAAAAATACTCGTACTTGTAAGGGGACGAATGACAAAGTTGTTCGCTAACCCGCGCCCTGGTGGGGTCTGTTTATAACGCGACCTGGTGGTGGTGGGGGGGGGGGGGGGGGGCTATTTTTGGCCCCCCCTCGTATCTCCGAAACTACTGGATGGATCCGCAAAATTCAAACGGCGTTCGAAAGGCCTGTCAAATTTGTCGAAGGAAACCAAATTTCATTGACCTCGGGGTCACCGATGACGTCACAGGTCAGGTCAAAGATGAAATGTTTCACCGTTCACGGGTCTTCTAGGGAATGCGCTATAACACCGAGGAAAACGCATTTTGTCGAGAATCAGCGATAGGGCGTCAGTTGCCTAGTAGATATGTTGCTATTAGAGGTCACTGACAATACCAGGTCAGGTCACAGGTCAGGTCACCAAGGGTCACAGGTCAGGTCACATGAGTCCAACTTTACTAAGGTTGTGTGATGCATGTTTTATGGCCAATTTTTCATTTCCAACACAATGGTGTTGGTTATAAGACTATCAGGTACGGCTTAGGTCACTTTCTGGTGAAGTTCAGGTCAAGGTCAGGCCAAAAAAGGTCAAATTTTAAAGTTGATAGTTTTGCATAAAATGGGTATTGATTCGATGCAGCTCGTCACGGGGAGTCTAATGGTGGTCTTTGTTTTGCGCAACGGTGTCTAGAATTGCTAAAAATTGAGTTTGAAAATTTGACGTCATCAATTTTGAACAGTTTTTTCGCTATAACTTCGCCAAAAAAGAGGTATCAATCTCAAATTTGGTATGTGGATGGAAGGCGGTAAGGACTATCACGTATATTCCGGTTTTTGGGAAATTCAAAAAACTTTTTGGATTTTTTGATTATTACATCAAAAAAAAATTATTTTTTGATTTTAAGGGGTCAAAACCAAAAAATTTCAAAAATCCGAGATAGCAGTTTTGTAGCCCCGTCAATTCTACAGCTTTTATGTCTTTATCATTTTTCTGTATTTGCAAAGCTATAGGCCTGACAGCTCTTCCCGTGAAACCCTTTTTTGGGTCGAAAACGGCAGAACATGACGTCACTCTGACGTCATTTCCGGCCAACCTATCATAGCCTTTGGAAAAATTTTTGGTCACAATGTGTAAAACTGATGTCCGGGAGGGTACTGAAAGTTTGGTGACGATCGGCGCAGCGGTTCTGGAGATATATCGAAAAGTCTGGAGGGGGGGGGGCAAAAAATAGCCCCCCCCCCACCAGGTCGCGGGCTAATACTTCTTTGTTTATTTATGAGCAAAGCAACGACTGGCTGAGGTCCAATTTGTGATGAGTTCTGAGGTACAAAGTCACAAAGTCAATGGATAATGGCACAAAGTCATTACGAGCGAGCGAAGCGAGTCTTTTCAATATAACGGAAAAATCTCAGTATGGGCGGCGCGACCCGGCCCGGCCCGGCCCGGCCTGTAACGCTTTTGATGCGCTTATAACTCAGCAACCGCTGGGCCGATTAACATGCGGTCTTTTTTATTGGGTAGCCCCATCCCTTCTACCCCGTGGTTGACTATTCTTGATGCATTCAGGTGACCGTCGTGGCACGTGCCACGTGAAAAGTCAAGGGTGTTCATTGTTCAAGCAGTTCTACAGAATAAGCGCTTTTGGGATGTCTATATATCGGTAACTTCTTTGGGTGATTGACTTGCGGTTATTTTTGTAAGGTAGTTGCATCCCTTCAACCAAATCCCTTCACCCTTCATCGGATAGGTAGGGTAGGCTGAGGTAATTTGAACATATTTTTACGTCTTCTCCGTCGTACCAAATTCCAGCTCAACCCTGGATGAAGAAAAACTGTTTCAGTAGCGCAAATGTCACTTCCTTTCACCATGCAAGCCTCATTTTGGACGAGCCGAGCATACCTTGAATAACATAGCCTCACTTCTCCACCAAGTCACGGTGTGTTCAAATTGCCCCACCGTGGGGTAATTTGAACATACTGCCTTCACCTGCCATAAAAACGATAGTCTCGCCATCACCGATGTTGTTTGACCCATAAACAAATAGGCAGAACAATTCTAAACATACCTTCTTTTGAAAAATCAACACAACAAGCATAACACTTGCCGAGTATCAATATCTGCACGCTGCCCACCGGTCAGTTGACAGAAGTCGCCTCTCTTCATTTAACAGAACGTCTAGCATTTTCGTTCAATAAAAACTCCCAACCTAACCTAAACAATTTAAATGACAGCTTTGGGTGCTGATTACTACGTAATTTTCGGACACATTTAGTTACATGGCTGACTGGAATATTTTTTGACGGAAGTTCAACGAAAATGCCGGACATTGGACAGAAATTAGACATAAATTTTCTAAAACTGGCATCACTTAGCTGCTACTGCTTTGAGTCGAACATGTTGGCAAAAAAAAAAACTAGGAACGTTTTTTATCGGAGTTATACCTGTCTTTATTGAAATTCTCGCACTATGTTCAAATTACCCCACGCTAAAAGTTATTTTGCCATATTTTAACACAGGTTTCAAAAGCCAATTTCTTGGATTGAAGGCACTTATTATTCCATATCAAGCTTGCAGTCGGAGTTTCTTCGGCAGATCGCTCCTCCGCTCAAGAATTTGCGTCTTAAAATGTAATACATACAGAAATCACGCACTGCTTTCAGCAGGGTATTTCGGCTGCAAGCTTGAAACGGAACAGAGTATAGTTCATGGTACAACAAAAGCCGTTGCGTATTAAGCGCTAGCAATGTAACATTTTGCGCTGCAATGAAGTTGCAATGACGTGTTGTAAGACTTCAAATTGCAACACCACCACTGTCGCTGAAAACTGCTGCGTGGGAGTGCTCTAGAAGTTTTTGCGGAAAATGGGTAACTCGGGGCAGGACAATCGAAACGCTGCAGACATGCCCATGGTGGGATGGGCTCAAGTCCACGCTTCGAAAATTGCACTCCGGTGCCTAAACGAAAGGCTAGGGTCCGTTTTTTTTAGCAGAAGAACCCCTACCCCCTGGTCGACCCGCTCACTTGTTGTCAGCCCCATCGGCCGTTACCTGTGGGATAGCTGAAGTCCGACGCCTACAGGAAGACAGCCTAGAATCTGTCTCGGCTGATGATAGTGTTTGCGAAGGCCGTCCGTGTTATCACTTCTAAGTTCTAACACGTGCGTGCGAATGAACCGTTATGTGGAATCTCTAGGTGACACGTGCATTTGCCGAAAAGGGGCTCATATAGAAAACAGCGTGTGGGATGCGCCCGGTTTGACATGAGGCACTGAGACATGTCTATAGCAAAACTTGGAAGATCCGGGCAGCACATTTCAGCAAGACATTTGATTCTAGCTTATTCGAGCTGGCGATAATGGGGTAACGAAATCACAATGGTGGGCACTCGCAACTTGACCAGGACTTCGATAACAATAATTCTAAAACCTCTTTCGAGGTCAGTGACTTCGGTAACGATAACTCGATAACCAAATCGGTCACTCCGATAACGCGATAACGATAACGATAACTTCAAAAAAGAAAAAATTGAAAGGATAAAATATTTGAAAGGAATAAGCTTCTAATTGATATTAAACCCATTCGCTCATACACCATTATTACCCAGCTGCTTACACAAAAATGGGGGCTTAGAACAGTAAAAATGTTATTTTTCTCGTACAAACAAACAAACGTGCAAATTAAAACTTGAAAATATTTGGCAACAGAGCTTGTTGGGCCGAAAGACATTCCACATAACGTTTTTCAGTATTCAATCTACAAAACTGATATCTCAGCTTAAACCGCACGTTGAAGGTGAACGCCCTTTAACCCGCGAGTTGCTGGGGGGGGGGGGGCGTGCGTTAAACGCCCCCTTTTGGGTACCTGTAGGCAATAAATTGAAGTTTATTGTGACAAAGGTTCAAAAAAATCGGTCGGAAAATTTTTGAGATATCAAGGTTTTAATGACGTCATGATTTCTGAGTTTTCGACCAAAAACGGCATATGTTCAAAAAATCATATAAAATCACAGAATAGACATACAGACATGCTGTAAACGCCATTAGACTGCCAATACCATGAACAATCAAATGGCTATCTTCGATTATTGATTATCGTTCCGCATTTTCCAAAATCTTGAACTGAATCTTGACAATTTCTCGTGACTACTTCACGACCATGATACATGCATTTCTTAAATTGAACTTTTTTAGCCAAACACGTACACATATGATAAAATGAATGTCACCATCGTGTTCTACGCCCCAAATTACCCATAAAACATGTGTCACAGGCTGCGAATATCAGTTTTGATTTTCGGGGATATGTGCCTACCCGGTTGACCTGACCTTGACCCTGACCTATGCTTGACTGACCCCTACATGGAGCTGACACTCTTGTAGGCCTTATATGATGGATTGTGCACCGTTTTGACAGAGTTTATGACGAGAGGCGCCCATTGCGAAGTCCTGAAGTCCATGCCACTGAAAGGCCGATTTCAGGTGTTTGACCTGACCTTGACCCGACCTTTGACCTCAAAATTCAACTTTAAAGTACTCATCTGAAGCGTCTCGTCGCGTTCTTTCGTTTGTCGCCTCGTGCGTTTCGCTGCGCCTATTGGTTCTTGAGTTATCGGCTGGGGGCGTTTAACGCCCCCCCCCCCCCCAGCAAACGGTGGGTGGCGAAATACCCCAGCAACTGCCGGGTTAATACGCTCGCGTCTATTTGATGAAGTTATCGCAGGGGCCTAGCCAGGGGGGGGGGCATAGGGGCCATGGCCCGCTTGGAGCCCAAAAGGGCCCCCATCGCGCCAGGCTAGGGGCCTCTATTCCATAGAGGCCCCTGGCTGACACAGTGGGCCCTTGGCGACGCAAAGGCCCCTGCGACAGATCTTTTGATGCAGCTGCGTAGTCATAATTTGGCCAAGGGAGCCCCAATTTTAGAGCCTTGGGGCTCTTTTGAAACCAGGGGGTCCAGGTGAATGGGATGGGTCTAACGGTGTGTGCACAAAATCAAGGTGTAAATCATATGCATATTTTATTGTAGAGCATCTGAAGGGCCCTCTGTAAGTCAAAAGGAACCGCTATTTGCATGAGGGGCCCTTTTTTGACCGTCGGTCTGTCGTCGGTCTTAGAGGCTCCCGATCGGCCTGAGGGGCCCGTTGTTCGTCCGAGCGGCCTCTGTCAACTGGCGGGGCTTTTTCCCCACCCTGAGGAGTGAGGAGGTCCTCTATCGACATGAGGGGCCTCTGTCAGTCTCAGGGGCCCTCTCCCGACCTGGGAGAGGCCCTCCGCTGTTCTGAGGGGCCCCTGCCGGTCTATGGGTCCCTCGATCGACCTGAGAGAGCCCTCTGTTCACCTGAAGGGCCCTCTGTTGATCTGTTGGTTCCCGCTGTTGGTCTGACCCTATATCGGTTTGAGGGATCTCAGATCGGATCCACTGTCGATCTGGGTGGCCCCTATCGGTTTGAGGAGGCCCTCAAATGACCTGAACGGGCCCTTAGTTTGTCTGAGAGGGCCCTTCGTCGGTCTGACTGGGCCTCTGCAAGTGCAAGGAGGGCTTTTGTCGGTCTTAGTGGCCCTTAGGCGGCTTACATGACCCTCAGACGGCTTACGAGGCTCTCATGCACTGTAGGGGCCTGTGACGGTCTGAAGAACCCTCATCCGACCTACGGGCTCTCAGACCGCCCTCAAAACCGACTGGCGACTCTATGAAGCTATTCGTGGGGCTTGCCTGCCCCCTCAGTTCTAACATTTTTTCTTTTGTTAAGATTAGTATATTTTTATATGGGCCTCTAAAAAAATAGTGGATGAAATCCGATGACTTTTTGATTTTTTTTTTGGGGGGGGGTACCTTGGGCCCCTGTAAGTTTGACCCCCTCCTTGAGGAAACCCTGGCTACGCCCCTGAGTTATCGTTATCGATTGACCGAAACGGGACTTCGATAACGCCCCTTCGATAACGGTGATCAATAACGATAAACTTGAAAAAAACGTTATCGTCGATAACGACTTCGATAATCGTTACCGATGGGAGTTATCGAAGTGCCCACCACTGCGAAATCATGACATATTTTCGCGAACACCTTGTACTTGTATTTTTGTTGGTAAGCTGATTCGAAATGTCAACAGCTAATGCTCCATATACACAGTGTTGATGGTGACTCTGTCCTTCCCCACAGGGTCGGGGATGACTCGCCCACGGGTGAACAACAGGCGCCTTTCGGACGGACTGCTGGTCGGTGTACAGCTAGCGACGGACACACTCCTGTACCAGCTGGCTGTTCTGGAGACCTGCACTGAGTGCACAGTCACCAAACTGCTCATAAAACGTGAGCGGCCGCAGCAGCAGCAGGTGCACATTGTGCAGAGCATGAAGTGCCGAGACATCGTGACCACAGGGTTGTTCACGAAAAACTGACACATTTCAAGACGACTTGTGACCTTTAGACGTGAGGGGTCACAGAGACCTGATTTGCATGTCATTCGTAAGCCTGTTGAAAGAGTTTTGTATGTGCATAGTTTCATTAACACTCACACCGACGGGGGTCTGCGCCTACTTCGTACCGACGGGGGGGGGGCGGATGACCGCCCCCCCCCCTGAGATCTCGAGAACGAAGCAAGATAGCGACAAGCGGTAAACGGCACGGGATACGCACGGACAAGGTCTACAATTTTTACTGAGGTCATTTTCAGGTCAGGTCAAAGATGACGTCACAGGGGTCAAAAAGTCAAAATGGCGGTGCTAGATATGGAGAGGGTTTTTCTCGAATAACTTTCGAACTAGTCAAGATAGGAACAATCTAAGGACACCATCGTGATCCTCTCGTCAATCCGCATCGAATGATGTATATGTTGACCTCGAAAGGTCAAGGTCAAAGGTTGACCTCAGGTCACGTGCCTCGAGGTAATCATGTATATCATTCGATGCGTCTTCACGAGCTGAACACAATGAGACCATCCGCACGGCTATATCTTGTTCCTGTACGGAGTTATTGGCAAAAAAAAAAAACTTTGGTGACTGTAAAGTACTAGATCAGTCTGTCAATGTATTGGCCAACGCATCCTGAAAGAGAGAACACTGTCAGGATGCGGTCAACATAACTGGCTGCTTAGGACATTACATCTCTCCTCTGCCCAAGGAGGTCTGGACTGACCAATGTACCTACACAGTCTGTCAATGTATTGGCCAACGCATCCTGAAAGAGAGAACACTGTCAGGATGCGGTCAACATAACTGGCTGCTTAGGACATTACATCTCTCCTCTGCCCAAGGAGGTCTGGACTGACCAATGTACCTACACAGTGTAGGTACATTGGTCAGTCCCAGGGTTGTGCTTGACTCATGAGTCGAGTCAAAAATTTGACTCAACTCTGACTCAAATGAGTCAGATTTGAGTCGAATCGGATTAATTTTTGAGCTGTTGAGTTGAGTCAGAGTTGAGTCGGACAAAAATATTAAGGCGTTGAGTTGAGTCAGAGTTGAGTCAGTTAAATAACTTTTGACATTGAGTTGAGTCAAACATTTAGGAACATGAGTCAGCTGACTCAACTTTCCAGAAACAAGCTTTTCATTCCCCACCCCCGCTTCCCTGACCCTGTTGCCGGACTTTTTCACCCCCCTCCCCCCGCTCAAGACCTTTTTTTATCAGAGTCAATTTTGAGTCAACTCACTTGACTCAACAAAAAATTTGAGTCAAGTTTGAGTCGACTCATATTTTCATTGAGCCGCTTGAGTCATGAGTCGAGTCAAGGGAAAAAATCAGCTCCTTGTTTGAGTCAGAGTTGAGTCAGGGCTTTCTGAGGTTGAATGATGAGTCGAGTCGGTAAATTTTTTTGAGTCGAGCACAACCCTGGTCAGTCCAGACCTCCTTGGGCAGAGGAGAGATGTAATGTCCTAAGCAGCCAGTTATGTTGACCGCATCCTGACAGTGTTCTCTCTTTCTGTGATTACCACGTTCGAGATCCACTGAGAGTCTTGGTCTGGTGGGACGTCCTCTATCTTGTCTGCCTCTCTCAGCTCTTGAAGATGCTGACTGAGCCTCTCTTGGTATGCCAGGGGCACACCTCGGTAAGGTGCGGAGACCGGAGTGACCGTGTTGTCCACGTGGAAGCGTGCTGGTGGTCCCCGCAGAAGCCCCACTCCTTCGAAGACTGGTTATGTCTGGTGAGGAGTATTGTTCGACTCTCTTCTTTTCATCTTCTGGGACTTCTTCTGGCACCGCGCTGGCTGTCGCTACGGTGACCCCCGCCTCTCGCAGGGAGCTGGTGATCCCCGCCACTTGTTCGCACCTCTCCTTCTCACCGTCAGGGAGATGGTCTGGTCCTTCGCTGGTGGTCGTGGCGGTGAAACTTAGCTCTCGTGAAGAACTGGGACTCTTTGCTCTCTGCTTTGCCGTCCCTCCGTCTTGCCGGATCTGGAGGATGCCGAGGTGCTTTGCATCACGGTCTCCGAGCAACGGTTCGACCTGATGTCCCTCAACAACATAGACCGTCGTGTCGACCGCTGCGCCACCCCTGCTGCGTAGTGTGGTGTGGAATTGACCGCGAACCTGCAGATGCTCGTTGGTGCCATAGGGCCGGAACCGGATGGACGTCTTTTCAAGGCACCCCATGCTTGTGTCGAATAGGTGGTGGGGAAGAAGAGTCCTACTACAGCCAGAGTCCACATAGAAGGTGAGTGTCACACCATTCACCTGAACAGGTACCTGATTGCTGGCCTCGGCTTGCACGTGTCCCACTACCACTACTCTTCCAACCTCCTCCCCGTCGTACTCATATGCGACTAAAGAAGAGAGTCGAACAACTCCTCACCAGACATCAGCCAGTCTTCGAAGGAGTGGGGCTTCTGCGGGGACCACCAGCACGCTTCCACGTAGACAACACGGTCACTCCGGTCTCCGCACCTTACCGAGGTGTGCCCCTGGCATACCAAGAGAGGCTCAGTCAGCATCTTCAAGAGCTGAGAGAGGCAGACAAGATAGAGGACGTCCCACCAGACCAAGACTCTCAGTGGATCTCGAACGTGGTAATCACAGAAAGAGAGAACACTGTCAGGATGCGGTCAACATAACTGGCTGCTTAGGACATTACATCTCTCCTCTGCCCAAGGAGGTCTGGACTGACCAATGTACCTACACAGTCTGTCAATGTATTGGCCAACGCATCCTGAAAGAGAGAACACTGTCAGGATGCGGTCAACATAACTGGCTGCTTAGGACATTACAGTGACCTTTGATGACGTCACATGACCTTACAGCTGCCCAACAGCAAAACAGACCTCAAGGTAGTGTCGGTTGATCGTATATGAAGTCACGTATGGTATATGGGGCCATTCCGACCCGTTTTAGTGGTAAAAACAGGGAGTTGATTTTCCCCCCATTGACTTATAATGGGGAGGTCGAAAAATTGACCTGACCTTAGGTCACCGATATCAAAATTCCGAGATATACAAATTGTAGCTACTAATGACCTAATAACATCCCGCGACTTTCAAAGGCCTCCGACATCTACTGTAGCTCTGGCACGGTGACAAAGTTGCAAAAAAGCGCCTTGAGGTTGGGTCATTCAATGTGACCTGGTGACCTGACCTTAAAAGTTAGGAGGTTCAAACTTGCACATCATGTGTAAAATTGATGAGAGAATAGTCGTACCAAATTTCGCGGCGCTATGCACCGCGGTTTTTCCGCTATTCGCGATAAACCTCAGGGGGGGGGGGGGCGGATATCCGCCCCCCGTCGGTGCGCGTGTTAATTGGCATCACAGGAGTTTTTAACCTGCGCCCTGTTGGGGTCTGTTTGTAACGCGACCTGGTGGGGGGGGGGGGGTATTTTTTGCCCCCTCGTATCTCCGAACTATTGGACAGATCCGCAAAATTCAAACGGCGTTCGAAAGCCGTGTCAAATTTGTCGAGGGAACTCCAATTTCATTGGCCTCGGGGGTTACCGATGATGTCACAGGTCAGGTCAAAGATACAATGTTATGCCGTTCACGGGTCTTCTAGGGAGTGCGCTTTAACATCGAGTAAAACGCATCTTATCGAAAATCAGCGATAGGGCGTCAGTTGCCTAGTACATATGCTGCTATTAGAGGCAGGGCTGCGGAGTCGATGGATTTTCGGCGACTCCGACTCCGACTCCGACTCCGGCTTTCAAAAACCAGCTCCGACTCCGACTCTGACTCCGGGCAGAATTGTCGACTCCGACCGACTCCAACTCCCGACTCCGACTCCGCAGACCTAGCAGGGCTGCGGAGTCGACAGATTTTCGGTGATTCCGACTCCGACTCCGGCTCGGGTTTCTAAAATCGACTCCGACTCCGACTCCGGTCACAGCTGTCGACTCCGACCGACTCCGACTCCGACTCCGACTCCTACTCCGCAGCCCTGATTAGAGGTCACTGATAATACCAGGTCAGGTCATCAAGGGTCAGCACATGAACCCAATTTTACTAGGGCTGTGCGATGCATGTTTTATGGCCATTTTTTCATTTCCAACTCAATGGTGCTGGGCTGGTTATAAGACCATTAGGAACGGTTTCGGTCACTTCCTGGTGGAGGTCAGGTCAATGTCAGGTCAAAAACGGTCAAATTTCAAAGTTGATATTTTTGCATAAAATGGATACTGTAAAGTGGGGCTATTTGAAACGGATTTTACCGTTTTTGGCCTCTCCTTTCAAAACGGTTGATATTTCTTATAGCATGTAAATTGCAAAAACGTAGTACTCTGTAACTGCTTTCAAATAGGCTGATTTTGTTTCAGCAAGTAGCAATTAATAAAGTTATTTTTTTAGTTGAAGACTGCCTCAAATAGCCCCATAGTGTGGGGCTATTTGAGGCAGTTTTAGTTGCAAGGAAATTGAGGAAAATCGGTCAAGCTAGGGATAATTCTGTTACTGCTATGCGATTGTAAATTAAATTTTGATGCTTCTGACGAAAAGCATTTCTTTCAAATACAGTCACATCACCCTTATAATCAAATTGTTCATTTTCCGTTGGACATAGCATTTCGGTCTGTTAAAAAAGCTGCATTACTTTTTGCTTGGACTGTCATAATGTGATGCGACCCCAAGCATTAAAAATCACAGGATGATAATATAGGACTATGTTCAAGTCAACGACAGTGCAATTTTTCAAATAAAGTTGTTTTGTTTCACTCTGGCGGCGTAAAACATATAGGTCGAAAGTCGGTGGGGCTATTTGAGACAGGCTCGCTACTGTATTAAAAAACACCGTAATGCATAAAAAAGAGAACAGTTTCCAAAATGGTTGAATGAATGGCCTGCACGATGATTGTTCAATTGCACACCAACCTGTGAAGAAATGACAGAAAAA